GATAATACATGTAGAAAATTCTAATGATTCCACAAAAAACTTTTAGAACTAATAAATGAATTCAGCACAGTAACAGGATGCAAAGTCAGTTGCATTTCTATAACTTACAATGCACAAAAATCAGTTGCATTTCTATATATTTACAATGACTAATCTGAAAATAAAAATTATGAAAATAATTCAATTTATCAGTGTGAAAAGAATAAAATATATAGAAATTAAATTAACGAAGGGGATGAAAGATTTGTACAATGAAAACTAAAAAACACTGCCGAAGAAAATTAAAGATGACATCAATAATTGGAAACACATCCAATATTCATGGATTGGAAGATTTAATATTAAGATTTGGGTAGTGTCAACACTACCCAAAGTGATCTACACAATCCCTACTATAATCTCAAAGGTGTGTTTTGGAGAAAGACACCTTTCTCCATGAGAAAAACCCATCCTACAATCCATATAAAATCTCAAGGGATCTCAAATAGTGAAAACAACCTTAAAAAAGAGGAATGGGGCTGGATGTGGTGGCTCATGCCTGTAATCCAGCACTCTGGGAGGCCGAGGTGGGCGGATCACCTGAGGTCAGGAGCTCAAGACCAGCCTAGCTAACATGGTGAAACCCCGTCTCTACTAAAAATATAAAAAATTAGCCAGGCATGGTGGTAGGCGCCTTTAGTCTCAGCTACTTGGAACGCTGAGAAAGGAGAATCACTTGAACCCAGGAGGTGGAGGTTGAAGTGAGCCAAGATCGTGCCACTGTACTCCAGCCTGGGCAACAGACCAAGACTTCATCTCAAAACAAAAACAAAAAAACAAAAAAAAAAAGAGGAATGAAGGTGGAGGACCCAAAATCCCTAATTTAAACTTACTGCAGGCCGGGCGCGGTGGCTCAAGCCTGTAATCCCAGCACTTTGGGAGGCCGAGACGGGTGGATCACGAGGTCAGGAGATCGAGACCATCCTGGCTAACACGATGAAACCCCGTCTCTACTAAAAAAATACAAAAAACTAGCCGGGCGATGTGGCGGACGCCTGTAGTCCCAGCTACTCGGGAGGCTGAGGCGGGAGAATGGCGCGAACCCGGGAGGCGGAGCTTGCAGTGAGCTGAGATCCGACCACTGCACTCCAGCCTGGGCGACAGAGCGAGACTCCGTCTCAAAAAAAAAATAAAATAAAATAAAAAAAAAATAAATAAACTTACTGCAAAGCTACGATAATCAAAATACTACAGTTCTGGCATAAAGACAGATGTGTATATAAAAAAAATTTTTTTTACAACAGATGTATAGAACAATAGAATAGAATAAAGAGATAAAAACTAACCCTTGCCTACATAGTCAAATGATTTTTGACAAGGGTGTCAAAATCATTCACAATGGGGAAAGGGCAGTCTTATTAAGAAATTATGCTTGGAAAGCTAGATTTCCACATGCAAAAAAATAAAGTTGGACCATCACCTAACGCCATACAAAAATTAACTCGAAATGGATCAAAGACTGAAATGTAAATGTAAAACAACATAACACTTAGAAGAAAATACAGGTCAAGCTTGCAGTGAGCTGAGATCCGGCCACTGCACTCCAGCCTGGGTGACAGAGCGAGACTCCGTCTCAAAAAAAAAACAAAAAAAAGAAAATACAGGTCAAAAGTTTTATGACAATATATTTAGCAATGATTTCTGGGCTATGACTCCAAAGGCACAGCCAACAAAACAAAAAAGTTGGCTGGGTGCGGTGGCTCACGCCTATAATCCCTGCACTTTGGGAGCCTCAGGTGGGTAGATCACCTGAGGTCAGGATTTCAAGACTAGCCTGGCCAACATGATGAAACCCTATCTCTACTAAAAATACAAAAATTAGCTGGGTGTGGTGGCACATGCCTGTAATCCCAGCTACTCAAGAGGCTGAGGCAGGAGAATTGCTTGAACCCAGGAAGCGGAGGTTACAGTGAGCCAAGATCACGCCACTGCACTCCAGTCTGGACAACAAGAGCAAAATTCCATCTCAAAAAAAAAAACTGACAAACTGGGCGGCATGAAAATTTTAAAATATTAACATGACACTGAAGGAAGAAAATAGAAAAAGAAAAAGAAAAAGAAAAAAAAAGGTACTATCAACAGCATAAAAAGGCAACCCAGAGAATAGGAGAAAATATTTGCATATAATATGATAACAAATTAATATATTGAATACATAAAGGATTTCTAAATCTCCACAACAACAACATCGTATTTGAAAATGGGCCCTATAAAGGGGGCCAATTACTTAAATAAACATTTCTCCAAAGAAGACATAGGAATAGCTAATAAGCATAAGAAAAGAAGCTCTACATCACTAATCACTAGGGAAATAAAAAGTCAAAACCACATTTTTACATCCTTTAGGCTATGATTAAAAAACAAAACAAGGCCAGGCATGGTGACTCATGCCTCTGGGAGGCTGAGGCAGGAGGATCACCTGAGGTAAGGAGTTCAAGACCAGCCTGGCCAAAATGGTGAAACGTCTCTACTAAAAATACAAAAATTAGCCAAGTGTGGTGCACCTGTGAACCCAGGAGGTGGTTGCAGTGAGCTGAGATCACGCCACTGCACTCCAGCCTGGGTGACAAGAACGAAACTCTGTCTCAAAAACAAAACGAAACAACCCAAAATATTTAGTGTTGATGAGGATGTGGAGAAATTGGAACCCTTGTGTAATGTTGGAATGTAAAATGGTATGGCTGCAGCGGACAGCAGTATGACAATTCCTCAGAGTATTACCATATGATCTAGTAATTCCACTCTGGATATATGCCCCCCAAAATTAAAAGCAGAGTCTCAAAGAGATTTACATATCCACGTTCATAGCAGCATTAATCATAAAATGATAGCTAAAATAAAGAAGCAACCCAGTGTCCATTGATGGATAAATGGATAAGCAAAATGTGGTATAGCCAGACAAGGAATACTACTCATCCTTAAAAAGGAAGGAAATTCTGGGCCAGGCGCAGTGGCTCATGCCTGTAATCCCAGCACTTTGGGAGGTCAAGGAGGGAGAATCACCTGAGGTCGGGAGTTTGAGACTAGCCTGACCAACATGGAGAAACCCCGTCTCTACTAAAGATACAAAATTAGCTGTGTGTGGTGGCGCATGCCAGCTACTTGGGAGGCTGAGGTGGGAGAATTGCTTGAACCTGGGAGGTGGAGGTTGCGGTGAGCCAAGATAGCGCCATTGTACTCCAGCCTGGGCAACAAGAGCAAAACTCTGTCTCCAAAAAAAAAAAAAAAATTGTGCAATGGCACGATCTCGGCTCACTGCAACCTCTGCCTCCCGAGTTTAGGCGATTCTTCTGCCTCAGCCTCCCCAGTAGCTGGGATTACAGGCATGCGCCACCACGCCAGGCGAATTTTGTATTTTTAGTAGAGACGGGGTTTCTCCATGTTGGTCAGGCTAGTCTCGAACTCCCGACCTCAGGTGATTCTCCCTCCTCGGCCTCCCAAAGAGCTGGGATTACAGGCATGAGCCACCGGGCCTGCCTGGAAATTCTGACACAAATTCTACCACAGATACCACAGAAATAAACCCTGAAGATATTATGCTAAGTGAAATAAGCCATTCACAAAAAGACAAATACTTATCATTTGTAGCTTCTCAGAAATTATTTTCTAATGAGAACAAAAGAAAACAAAAAGACAAATCATGCATGATTCCACTCACATGAACTAGTTATAGTAGTCAAAATCATAGAGACAGATGGCAGAATGGTGGTTGCTGGGGATGGGAGGCGGGGGTATTGAGAAGTTATTGTTTAATGAGTATAGACTTTCAATTTTTTTTTTTTTTTTATTATGAATAGACTTTCAATTTTAAAAGATGAAAAAATCTGGATATGGATGGTGGTGACGGTTGCAAAACAATATGAAAGTTGCAAAACAATATGGAAAATTAAACAATATTTAATACCACTTAAATGTACATTTAAAAATAGCTAAGGCCAGGTGCGGTGGCTCACGCCTGTAATTCCAGCACTTTGGGAGGCCAAGCCGGGAGGATCATGATGTCAGGAGATCGAGACCATTCTGACTAACACAGTGAAACCCCGCCTCTACTAAAAAGACAAAAAATACAAAAAATTAGCCAGGTGTGGTGGCCTGTAGTCCCAGCTACTGGGGAGGCTGAGGCAGGAGAATGGCGTGAACCCAGGAGGCAGAGCTTGCAGGGAGCCCAGATCGCGCCCCTGCACTCCAGCCTGGGCGACAGGGCGAGACTCCGTCTCAAAAAAAATAAAAATAAAAATAATAGCTAAAATGGCAGATTTTATATGTATTTTACAATTTAAAAAACAGAAAAAAATTAAACAAAATGAAACAAAAATACTTCCTGTTTTGACTAATCCACCAACTTGAAAAACATTTGTTTCATTTTACTTTCAAAATTTAGGGATTGGCCGGGCGCGGTGGCTCAAGCCTGTAATCCCAGCACTTTGGGAGGCCGAGATGGGTGGATCACGAGGTCAGGAGATCGAGACCATCCTGGCTAACACGGTGAAACCCCATCTCTACTAAAAATACAAAAAAATTAGCCGGGCGTGGTGGCAGGCGCCTGTAGTCCCAGCTACTCGGGAGGCTGAGGCAGGAGAATGGCGTGAACCCAGGAGGCGGAGCTTGCAGTGAGCCGAGATAGTGCCACTGCACTCCAGCCTGGGCGACAGAGCAAGACTCCGCCTCAAAAAAAAAAAAAAAAAAAATTTAGGGATTGATTTTCCATTTTGATTTAACTTTGTTTTAGTAATAGATAAAACATTTATAGGGTTCCATAGTCAAAACTATTAAAACAGACATATTCAGAAAATTATAGCTCTTCCATTGTATTCTGTCATCCCCCTATAGGTAGCTTGATTTGGTCTAAGCTTCTTTTCTATTTTAATAGAAGCTAACACATATTCATATACTCCCCTCTTCTTAAAAGGCAGCACAATCTACACGTTAAAGAAAAATGCATTTTAAAAATATATACATACTTCAATATATAGGCTTTTTGGTGGTTTCACATCCTGTGTAATGTCCAAACCTTCATCTCCTCCCAGTGACCTCATATAAGTAGCAAGAGATCTTTTATAATTATTAAACCACTCCATCTGCAAACATAGAGATGATCATTTGACAAAATACTAAGAAAACTTACACACATTGCGTACTCATCCATTCGAAAACAGTACACATCCCAACACAAATCACTATTGTAACCATTCATTCATTTATGCTAAAATATTATTAATTGCCTCCTATGATATAGGCATTAGTCTGGGTAGTTAGGATGAATCATTCAATAAAGTGAACAAAATTCTCTGTTCTCAGAGAGATTACATTTCAGCATACTTAGTAATAAGCCTTAGGAATCTTTGATCAGAAACAGAACCAAGAAAAAGATGCCATTTCAGAATTATATCTTCAAACTCTGCATTGATGCTATTTCTGAAAACTATAAAACGTTGTTAAGAAAACCCAAATGTCCACCAACTGATGAATGGATATGTGCCCATATGATGGAACATTATTCAACCATAAGTAGCAATGAAGTTCTGAAACATATTGCCATTACCACATCAAAGACAAAAGGCCACATATTGCATGATTCTATTCATATGAAAAAACTGTAATAGGTAAATCTATAGAGACAGAAAGTAGATTCGGGATTTCCAGGAGCTGGGAGTAGGGAAGGAAATACAGAGTAACTATAAAGGGGACAGGGCTTCTTTGTAGGGTGATGAAAATATTCTCAAATAAGATGGTGGTACTGGATACACAACAACTCTGAATATACTAAAAACCACCCCATTGTACAATTTAAGATGGTAAACTTCACAGTGTATGAATCATATATCAGTAAATCTATTTTTTAAAATGTTGGAAAAAAAATGAAAGACCTAAATATATACCACATTCAGACTGGATGATTCAATATTGTAATAATGTCAACAATCTAAAGATTCAATTCAATCTCAATCAAAATCTTAACTTTCTTTAAAATGGAACTTGACAAACTGAGTCTAAATTTTACATGGAAGTGCAAAGGGCTAAAAATAGTTGAAATGCTCTCAAAAAAGAACAAGATGGGAACTTGCTCCAACTATACTATATAGTTACAGTAATTACAACAGTGGAATTGGTATAAGAACAGATAGACTAGCATTAACAGAAGAAAAAGTCCTCCCATTCAAAATCCACAGGAATACTGACACTCAGTGTATGACGAGGGTGGCACCATGCACACAGTGATGGGGGAGGCACATCTGTTCAATACATGGTGGTGGGTCATCTCAGTATCTATATTCAAAATGAAGCATAATTCCTATAGTATACACAAAACTTCATCCCAGTACTGTAGATCTCTTTGTAAAAGGTAAAATATAGCTCCTAAAAGATTACACAGAAAAATATCTTGGGGGGCTGAGGCAGGAGAATGGCGTGAACCTGGGAGGCGGAGCTTGCAGTGAGCTGAGATTGTGGACACTGCACTCCAGCCTGGGCAACAGAGCGAGACTCTGTCTCAAAAAAAAAAAAAATGTGCACTGTAGATCTCTTTGTAAAAGGTAAAATATAGCTCCAAAGATTACACAGAAAAATATCTTGGGGGCTGAGGCAGGAGAATGGCGTGAACCCTGGGGAGGCGGAGGCGCTTGCAGTGAGCTGAGATTGTGGACACTGCACTCCAGCCTGGGCAACAGAGCGAGACTCTGTCTCAAAAAAAAACGGACAGGCCTGGTAGTGTCAAAAAAAAAAAAAATCTTAATATGCTCTGGGTAGGCCGGGCACGGTGGCTCACGCCTGTAATCCCAGCACTTTGGGAGGCCAAGGCGGGCATATTGCTTGAGGCCAGGAGTTCAAGACCAGCCTGGCAAACATGGTGAAACCCCGCCTCCACTAATAATACAAAAATTAGCCAGGCATGGTGGCACACACCTGTAGTCCCAGCTACTCTGGAGGCTGAAGCAGGAGGATCACTTGAACCGGGGAGGCGGAGGTTGTAGTGAGCCGAGATTGTGCCACTGCACTCCAGCCTAGGTGACAGAGTCAAACTGTGTCCAAAAAAAAAAAGGAAATACTATTCAGCAATAAAAAGGAATGAGCTAGGCCAGGCACGGTGGCTCACACCTGCAATCCCAGCACTTTAGGAGGCCTGAGCGGGTGGACTACCTGAGGTTGGGAGTTCAAGACCAGCCTGACCAACAACGGAGAAACCCCGTCTCTGCTAAAAATACAAAAAATTAGCTGGGCGTGGTGGTGCATGCCTGTAATCCCAGCTACTTGGGAGGCTGAGGCAGAATTGCTTGAACCGGGGAGGCAGGGGTTGCGATAAGCCAAATCACGCCATTGCACTCCAGCCTGGGCAACAAGAGCAAAATACTCCGTCAAAAAATAAAAATAAAAAACAAGGAATGGGCCGGGCGCGGTGGCTCACATCTGTAATCCCAGCACTTTGGGAAGCCAAGGAGGGCGGATCATGAGGTCAGGAGATCGAGACCATCCTGGCTAACACGGTGAAACCCCATCTCTACTTAAAAAAAAATACAAAAAAAATTAGTCAGGCGCGGTGGTGGGCACCTGGAGTCCCAGCAACTCAAGAGGCTGAGGCAGCAGAATGGCGCGAACCTGGGAGGCGGAGCTTGCAGTGAGCCGGCACCACTGTGCTCCAGCCTGGGTGACAGAGCGAGGAATGAGCTCTTGCTAATATATCAAAAACAAGGAATGAGCTCTTGCTAATATATCAACAGGTTAGAATCTCAAAAATATTACATTTAGTGAAAGTCATCAATCGTTAAAGGATACTGCATGAATCTATATGAAGTTCAAAAAATGGGCA